TTCCCACTAATAAGAGATTTGATATATACACTCTATAACAAACTGATTTCAAGAAAAAGCAAATAAAAGAAGGGAAGTATGGAACACTCTGGATATGGTAAATGAGCTAGACTAATAATGATTAAGAAGCTGTGAAACTATCAGTTAAAAGTTTCCCTAAGGCCTTAAAACCTCAAAATGGAAGTGCAAAAATGATGTCATGGAGATTTTATAAAAGCCAGTTTGATGCAAGCTAAAGAAAAGAGTTAGACATTTCCAGAGAGTATGTGTATCTGTGTATGTGTTTGTTGTATGTACATGTGGACATCTTCATGTATATATTAGCATGTGTACACAAAGGATATTTGTGTAGAAATAAGAGGTAAAAATTAAATGTCTTCTTCAATAATTTCTCTACATGTTTTTTGAAACAAGTTCTCTCACTGAACTGGATTTCACTGAGACACATCATTATGCCTGGCTTGTGTTTGATGAACTCAGACTCTGGCCCTACTATTTGTACAATAATCACTTTACCCACTGAACTATCTTCCCAGTCCCTAAAAACTACACTTTAAAGACAAAATCCAGATGAATAAAATGAGACCTATACAATGTAAATTACTTATTTTGGGAATAGCAGATGACATTCATAGCACTATAAAACATGCTGTAATTCACCTAAGGTCATTTTAGCTCATAAATATCCTGTGTATATTTTAAAGAAAAACACTTTTAATTTCTTAAACTCCAAATGTCTGTGGAATTGACACAACTTTTACCTTTGTTTCAACATTTTTAAGAGACAAAATGCCCAGAGACATCCTAATTAAATGGATTGTATACACATAAAATATACATGAAGGTAGTTTCAAATATAGCATGTGGATGTCTTCATCCCTTTCCTCTCTGCTCTTTTAAAAATGTCCCTTTAAAAATTTCCCACTCACCATCTGTTAGGTAAATTTCCTAAAACACAGTAAAAGTGGAGGCAGAGATTGTTTTAGAGATGTTTCTAAATGGCAGTGATACCTATATTTATGCAATTTAAAGAGGGTAGGTTAGAGTTGCTTAAAATAAAGCCCCTCCCATCTATAAAAATATCACAACACCCTATGAGCAATTCTTCATGGGAGAGAGAGAGAGAGAGAAGGAGCATAGGGATGTATAGACAGCTATTTGAAATAGTGTCCCTAAAGCTTACTCTTCTATGCAAGTTCCAGTGAATGAAAAGAAACCATTGACAAACTTGCAAATAGATTTCATTTATGGTACAGAGTTCATAGGTTTAGATTTGCATTATTATACTCAATAAAGATGCAATTACTCAATCTATTTATATCTGAAAAAAAACTACACACACACACACACACACAGAGAGAGAGAACAGATGCCATGCAATTCAGAACCCATAGCCTAGATCATGTCACTGCAAATAATAATAATCCATTAGAGTCAGGATGTAGCAAAATAAATTTTTACTCTATGCATGTTTGCTCTTAAGTCAGTAACATTTCTTAAGTCAGAATGCTCCTCTTTCTCAACACTGTAGTGTTTCTAACTCATGGCTATAAAATACTGTTCTGGGGAGATTCATCCTTCGGTCACCACATTATGTAACCTCCCCACTTTAAGCCATCCCCATCCTGTGATTAGTTTTTAAAAATATGTTACTCCTCATCAGTAATAATTTATGCTTAATCTTTCTGAGCATTAAGAGAGTATTATTCTGCCCAGGCTCAGAAACAAATCTCTAGAAATTCCTCCCCAATGCTTCTTTGAGGCTGAAAATGCATCATAGGGCAGTTGCTGTGATTTAATTCTACTTGGCAGAGTCCTGGCCACACGCTAATTTCATTAGCCTCAAATTCCTGGATTTGAAAGACCCACTAGATCTGATTCTGGTTCTCATGTCATTTACTAACCTATTCAGGGAATATACTGAAGGAAGAGAGAAAAAAGAGAGAAGGGGGGAGATGGAGGGAAGGAGGAAGAGGGAAGGGAGAGAGACAGAGTCTGACCTGACTTTCCAGTCCTAAGTCTGGCCTTGCACACCAGTAAGCAGAGGAGAATTCCAATTGAAAGGCAGCATTTACAGCTGAGGAGTCATCCTTGTCCATTTCTGCATTTTACAGTGTTTCCACCTTGGCTCTGGCAGAAGCAGCATTTGTTGTACCTCTGACTATCTCATTACTACTCCTGGCCCCCAGCACTCAGCATCCCCTCATTTAGTCTGTAAGTATCTCCTCCCCCAGGCTACAGGCTCATCTCACTATAAATTCATATCTCAAGTGATCAGTTTGGCATGGTCCCCACAGCCACCCACGAAGACAAGAGCAAAGAAGAAAACCTCAAATCACTGCAAAACTCAGAATCTAATCATTTGGAGGTTTTTATTTTATATAGGGCAATTTCAATTGAACAGAAACCTAGGGTCCCATAAAAGATTCACCTACTCACCTTTCTCTCTTTCTCTATTTAAAGGTGCCTATTGTTATTCTGCCTTTATTCTCTTTAACCATTTTGCAGAATGACAGAATCTGGAAAACTAGTGGAACTTGCAAGCTAAGTGCTTCTAAAACCACATGCAAAAGGCCACCAAATGATTTCTATGTGAAATATAGAGATAGAGAAGTATACATTACGATTTGTGTTAGTACCTGAAAGCACACACACACACACACACACACACACACACACTTCAACATGGGCAATGGCTAAACCAGGATGCACACTAACTGTTATGCCCAGCTTGCAGCACAAGCCACAAGTTGGAACATCCCTCCCACTCTCAGCCTCCTAGTAACTGCAGGTGAGAATCAGGGCCTCTTTTGCCTCAGCTGTACAATCCAGCACGAATAGCTACAATTTGCAAATTAGAGGAAAATGACAGTGTTTTCTCTGAATGGTTTTAGTCCCAACCCACACTGTTCACACTGGCATTAGGTTCCATCTACCCCAGCTCAGGGAAGTAGAAGACCAGCCATTTGTTTCTTTGGAAGTTGCCTCAGTTTTAAATGCAACTACAGGAGAAATAAACTCCTCCTGGAATCCTTTGCACATTGTCCCTAGCTTTTTCTGAAATGTCTTTTGAGAACTTCGCTATTGCACTCTTTTACAAACACACAGGCTCGAGTGGCATAATGTCCACACTTGAGGAGAACAGGCAAAAAAATAATATTATAATTCTAAACCCAGGATGAGCATTCTACCTCTCAAGGCTTGGGAGGACCCCCCCCCCCAACACACACACAGAGGCAACATGCACACACACACACAGACTTCAGATGTTTTCTCAGCTCATCTCTTCAATCTTCTCTGCAGCTGCAACTACCCCACCCTAAGCTGTTTTACTTTAAGCTCAGAGGTGAAAAAAACTCTTGTGAGTTTTGAGGACAAAAGCCCAGACTATTTCTGTATGCAAGCAACCCAGAGTGAAGCCTGCCCTCAGATCACTTTAAAGGAGGATGAGCAGCAAGAAATCACCAAGCTGGCACACTCAGGAGGTATTGATATGCTCCAGTGATCACAGGAGCCTCATTAGCTTCAGGTGAGCACTTCTGCTGCCTGAACACAAAAGTTCCCTCTCCTGGAGATGAAGCAGGTCCTATGCTGGCCTGGCCATCACCAGCAGGCCCCTCATAAAACTCTCACCCTTCCCTTCGGGAAAGCACAGGAGCAAGAATCACGTTTTAGACTTGAGCAACACAATCCTGCAGGGATCAGCTTCCACAGCTAAGGGCAGGCATTGGCTGGATTTGGTTACCACCAAAAAGCAGCAAACCCTGCTTTAGGAAAGTCATACCAGAACGGACTTGAGGCAATAACTTGAGGATGAGGAAAGGAAAGAGAGGTTGGGAAAGGGCTATGAGGAGGGAAAACCAAACAAGGAAACAGAAAGAAACAGAAGCATACAGGGAAACCTTATCACAGAGTCCCTCCAAACTCAATTTCTAACCCTCCATTTCCACCCAGTGCAGCAGAGTAGGCACCACGGGGACAGAGGCTGCAGGGACCAGAGGCAGAGCACTGCGGTTGGACCCACTACTGATAAGTCCTGCATCTGCCTTCCTCCTGTTTTGGAACCGGGGTCATGAGACCCCGAATAACACTCCTTAGGCGCAGCAGGCTCAGTCTCTCAGCTCGGAGCCTGGGATTCTGGGTGTGGGGCTGCATTAGTGAGGGAGGGGGACTAGGAGCAGAGGGAGCAGTCAGTGAAAGCGATTTTATTTCGCAGTTAGCATGAGCTCATCTCCAGCTGAGGTCTGAAGTGGCAGCAGAAAGCTAGCTGATCGCCCAGCTCCTGCCACTGGCCGGACTGAAAATGCAATTTAGGCGGTGCACAAAATCGCCAGGAGGAAACCAACTCGGGGGGGGGGGGGGTGACACGTCAGCAGGCGAGGTCTCCCCAGTGGGGCTGATACCCCCAATACCTCGGATCGAGAACTGCTAACACGTCGGAAATTCAACCCCAAAGAGATGGGCGATTATCATCCACATGCAGGTAAAGCCCAGCCCTCGGTTGAAGAAGGGGCTCCAGGAGGTCTTCGGGAATATTTCCCTGGAGTCGAGGTTTCCTAGGTGGCATGGGAAGCTGGGGAGTTGAGAAATGCCGTTTTCAAAGCATCTTCCCATTTTTCATATTCCCTGTGCCTAACCTGCTCCCCTAGGAGCCCATGCACTTTTACAAGCCCGTTTCAGACATTTCACTCTAATGCAAACCCATTTCAATCATCGCCTTGTTTTTCCAAAGACTGCTCCTTGTAAATGGGACCACAAATCCGGGGAGTCAGATTTGGTTGGATGGAGTGGAGCGTGGACAGGGGAAGACATAAAAGACGAGTAAACTAAGCAAGGAAGATACCTCCTTGAGTGGGGTGGGAGGGATTTGGCAGGATTTCCAGGGTAGAAATGTCAGAGTGCTGGCCTGACCCCTGCAACCCACAAAGTCCAAACCAGCTTTTAAGGTTAGAGAGCAGGGAGCCACAGAATGCTCCTCCCCAAAGGGAGCGCCCCCCTACCTGGAAAAGCCTCAAGATGTTGGCTACCATGATGGAGACAGAGCTCCCCGAAGCCCCAATCACTCCAACTACTTTCTCCGGCTTGACGAAAACCGGGGGCTCGCCGTTTGTGCAACGCACGTCGGAGGTGTCCTTCTGGATGAGCGCCTGGACGAAAGTGAGAGACTGTTCAAGCGCATAAGTGTCCCTGGAACAAGTGTCCAGGATCCTCGCGCCTAACGTTACGTTGGGCAGCAGGTTGGGATCGCTGTTGATCTGGTCCAGGGCGTAAAGCATAGCTTCCAGCCTGTGGATCCCATTCTCCCTCTTGATGTCGCCGCAGGGCACTCCGCTGGGACCCTTGGCGTGCACTGGGAACAGCCCCCCAAGGGTGACGTCCCCCTCTATCCGGATCGAGTGCGGGGCATACATCTCCTGGCCGCGCGCCGTCGCCGCCAGCACGCACAGGAGCACCTCCAGCACGCAGCAGGGGAACTTCATCAAAGTCAGGACGCGGAGCAGCTTCCCCAGCTGGACCATGCCGCTCCGGATGCTGCTCCTGCTGCGGCGGCGGCGGCGGCGCTGGAGCGGATGCTGATGGGCAATCCCAAGTCCGGGCTTCTCGTGGTGAGCTCCTTTTGGGGAAGCCCGGGGGACTTCTGTAGGCACAGAGGGTGGAGGAGCCTGAGGAGGTGCTGCGGGAGAGGGTAGGGGGGTGGTCCCAGGGCGTCAGCCAGCCTATGGCACCTGGCGCTGTGGCTCCGCTAGCCCGCGCACCAGCTTGCGCTCCCAGCTCCTGGCTTGCGGCTCAGGCTCGCGCTCTCCAACAGCCAAGCACTGGGGAGAGGGCAGGGACTGCTATCGCTTTAAATGGTCGTTGGGCTCCCTCTCCTCCTCCTCCTCCTCCCACTCCCTCTCTCCCTCCCTTGCTTGCTATCCATCTCTCCCCACCCTTCCCAGCGCCCGCCCTCCCCACCGGTTTGCATCATCACGCAGGGAGGGGCTGCGTGCTGAGGTAAGGGGGGGGGGAATGGGTGGGTGGCCCGGGAGTCTGGAGGTTGCCTCTCCAGGGGAGTTTGGTAGTCCCCAGGGAATGTATGGATTTCAGGATACCAGTGAGGGTGAGCTCTTGTCCTCAACTCTGGGATAGAAACCTCTGGTCCACCAACACCCACACCCATGTTCTAGGAACCGGAGGCATCCTTGGGATGAGGCTAAATGATTCCGAACCCCGAGTCTGATCTTTGACTCTCAGCTCTAGCAGAGAGCGAGCGAAGGAGTCCAGAAGTGGAGCAGCCAGTGAAACTGGGCAGGAGGAGGGGAGAGCCCAGCCTTTATGACTGGCTCTCTTGTGCTAGCTTTATGCTCAAAAAAATACAGGACATCCAGGAGCCTGATTCTTGACTTAAGTCCTTAACCAGCGGCTTCTTCTGGAGCAAGCACCCTCTAGCTTGGATGAAACCTGAAACCAAGAGGAATCCTAAGGCATGGTAGTACACCCTCGATCTTCCTAAGGTCCAACACTGACCACTTTTCTCGGCAGGTCTGCGGCAGAATACTCCGATCCAGTCAGTGCGTTTTCTTTCCTTTGCAGCAAGAGAAGAAACAGAAAACTCCAGCACTTTCCTCCCTAGCGCTGACAGGTGTAAGGCTCCCTCCTACCTATTTCCAGAGATACTTCTGGGATGCTGACAGTTTTTCTTTGCAGTTAGGAAACAGCAACAATGTGGTGAGGGTAGGAGGAAGAAAGAGAAGCTGCAGAAGGCTCCTGGAAGATGAGAGAAGCTTTTTACTCTGCCAGGCATTTGGCAGAACAAAGCCAGAATGCTAAGGCAGATTCCACTGTCCTGCCTCCCAGAAGGTGGCCCCGCTGAAACTTAGCCCATTAAAGCAACAAGTGGCCTTAGCTTTGTTACAGGGAAATTTAAAATTTCTCTGGGACCTTAACTCAACTGTTGGTGATGCTTTCTACTAGAGGATATAAAAGCTATATTGTACAGATTTAGGGTAGAGAGAAAGCCAAAACTCAAGACTATGCTTTCTGTTGTGGATAGAAAAACTATTATTTGATATAATATACAGTGCTATTATATTGCCACCACCACCAACTTCCCGTGTGTCCTTGGCAGTTTTCAGTGCTACTGCCTGAGTTTTAGTTTTCCCATCTGGAAAACGATGAGATTGAGTTGGATGCACTCCAAGTTATCTTTTAACTCAAATCCTTTGTTAAAATAGGCCATGTCCCTTTGGCTACAGTGCTCTTTTTAGGCCAACATTCTCTGTTGCTTTATGCTTAGGAAACCAGCACAAAGATGTCCCATTGGCCAACATTTAGTGATGCTGAGGACTTTTTGTGTTAGGTCAGGTGCTCCTGCTGCTATTCATCTTCCACATTGGGATAGTCTGTCCATTTCTTTTGGAACTTTGTCTCTATTTCAATGTTTTTGGTTTGGGAACTGAGCCCTTTTCCTAAACTCTAGGTATAGCTCATTCGTACATCTGATCCTTCTAGCCACAGTGCCAAGATCAATAGAGGGAATAAAGCTCAGCCAGCTTTATGGAGAACTCATCCTTGTATTTGATGGGGAAACTAGGGTAGGGACATGAGATTGGGGATGGGGGTGAGGCTATCCCTGGACCTAGTCACATTTCTATGAATCAGAAAAAAAAAAAAATAGGCCTTCTGCTCAGACTTCATGTTCCTCTTTTGGAAAACTATTATGCTCTTCTGATTTTTTAAGCACAAGATATTTTACTGCCATCTTCCACAAAACTGTACTGTGATTCACATGCAAATTATATGCAATATGCATAACAGTCACTCTCAGTCTTAGTGCCTTACTACACAAATGTACACCCAGCATAACTTTGTATCATGGCGTCCTTGTTGTTTGCTGCTGGTGTGTAAATTAGAGGAGCCCTCTTGTGTTTGAATCCCACACTGAGATAGACTGAAATGATTGCAGGGATAAAGGGTGTACGTGTGTGTGTGTGTGCATGATAAAATGGAAATGGACAGAGAGGGCATGGATGGGGGAGAGGAATGTGGAAGGGAGAGAGACAGAGTTAGACAGAGACAAAGATAGAGAAAAATACATAGTGACAGACAGATAGAAAGGCATTCCACTAAAACATACTATCACTCCAGATGCAGGCATCCTTGAAGGATTACTTCTAGGTTTTACCATTTACGTGGTGTTTTCTTTCTACCATTTGAAGTCAAAAGCAGTCTGCTGTAACCCTTCTATTGTAGCACACTAGATTAAAACACTAAGAAAATACATGGGATAGGTATCCTATAACTCTAGAATTGTCTAAATAAGATGAGAAGAAAAAGCAAGTGAAATAACATGAAGACAAGGCCCCCTGATTTTAAATGCCAGTATCTTGGGCTGTCTTCTATGAGGATGGAACTTCAATTTTTAATTTCATGCTATGTTTCAGGAAGTTGGTAGCAAACAGCACTCAGAAAAATGAGTAACAGGTAATAACCAGTTTTTTTCTGCATACATACTCATCCTTGTCCTGTCTCCCATTCTCCCCTCACATCCTATGATAGTCCTATGAGTTTCTTTCAAACATCTGTTAAAGGCTGTCTCATTTCATGAGTATTCTTTAGTGCTGGCTAGTCTCATGTCAAGTTGGCACAACCTATAGTCACCAAAGAGAAGGAAGCCTCAATTGAGATTGGACAGGAAGCGAGCATCATTGTAAGACATTTTCTTAATTAGTGATTGGTGTAAGAGTGTCAAGCCCATTGACTGTGGGGCTATTCCTAAGCAGGTGGTCCTGGGTCCTATAAAAAGGCAGGCTGAGCAAGCCATGAGGAACAAGCTGGTAAGTAGTACTCCTGCATGGTCTCTGTATTGGCTCATGCCTTCAGCTTCCTGTCATGACTTTCTATAGTGATGATGAACTATGATGTAGAAATATAAGCCAAATAAATATTTTCCTCCACAACTTGCTTTTGGTCATGGCGTTTCATCACAGCATTAGTAACCCCAGCAAAGAAAGCCCTGTTCTCTCTGTGTATTCTTCCCAAACATCTGGCAGTCAGCATTCTGTTTTTTGTAGTACAGCTATTTGTGTATACATCTGATTTATCTGCCAAGTTGTGAGATCCTTAAAGGTAATATCCAGACTGTTATTTATCTCTTCATCCTGGACAATGTTTGCAGTGGTGTCAGTGTATAAGGTTCACTCATATACTGAGTGGATGAGAACTGGTTCTTTTACTCTCTGCTGCCTTTACGTGGAAGTGGCCAGAACCATAAACAGATGCAGAAAGAATATGGTCTTTCACACAAATTACTCAGCTCTTACACCATGCATAGTTTTTGGAATATAATGGATAATAAATGTTCTTTCAAATCCTTTGGTTTAGAAAAAAAAAAAAAACAAACAAACAAAAAACTGGAAGTCTGAAACAGCCTAACCTTAAGACACTTGATCAACTTCATGAAAGCTTAGATTGATTCTTCTGGAATTAAGACTCCACTTTGAGACCAATAACTGAGACTACTCCCCAGAGCCTTCCTGAATGGGCGAGACACTGAGTTCCGATTTATTGCTTGACATTAGCATCCCTGAACAACATAGAAAGCAAAGGCTCTTACAAGAGAAGCTACAAGTGATGCTGAGTTTGCAGAATTACTATGCATTTAGAACCCACAGCATCACATTCATTTTTATATTCTCAGCCACAATGGAGAACCCAGCTCTTTATGGTAGGTACTCTGTTTTTCATTGAAAATATAAATTGATATCTCCATGTAGGAATTGCTTGGGTAGAGCTGGAATAAACAGTTTTCTAAGGACCGGAGAAGAACCTAGTTTTGGCTACAGAGATGTTTTAGCTATAAAACATGTCTGCAGGCTCGGTTCTGCCTAACCATCCGTCCTCACTCATAGCCTCACAGAAACTATTTAACTGGATATAACAGCTCCATCCTATTTTCGTTTTTTGTTCAATTTTGTATTCCAACTCAGCTCCATTTTCTTTTAGATTTCTACACGTTTACCTTATGTACTTGAGCTCTGTCCATATGTGGGTGTGTGCACCATGTGATACAGTGCCCACACAAGCCAGAGAGCATCGGATATGCTGGAACTGGAGTCATGGATAGCCTTGAGCCACCACATCGGTTCTGGGAACAAACCTGTAGTCCTCTGAAAAGGCAGAAAGTGCTCTTAATCACTGAGCCATGTCTCCCGCCCCAGTTCAATCTATGTTTTGATGATCTCACTCTCAATCATGTCATGTAGGAAATATGTTCCTGCTCTTACATTTTATTCTATTTTTATGTCTGTGTGGATATGTGCATGTGTATGCAGGGGACCCTGAGGGCCGGGAGAAGACATCGCCATCTTCTGTAGCTGTCATTACAATGTGACCCACCCAACACGGGAACTAGGAACCAAAATTCACTCCTCCTCAACAACAGCAATAGCTCTTAACTGTTGAGCAAAAACTCCAATATATCTTTTGAATTTATTTAAATCCAATTTGTAGCATAGGAGGCTGTCCTTAATCACTGCTTCTTTTTTCTAAAAGAAATATTTTCCTTTAGGAATGATGTATATGTTTTTATGTCTATTTATAGGTATGTGCACGTGGAACCGAGAAGAAGGAGTCAAGTCTTCTGGAACTGGATCTGCAGATCATTGTAGGCCACACAATGTGGTTGCTGAGGTCTGAACTCAGGTCACCTGTAAGAGCAGCAAGTGTTCTTAGCTGTTGAGCCATCTTTCCATTCCTCAAGCACCACTTCTTAAGCTAAAATATTCTAAATATTTTTTTTCCTTTCTTCATACAACTATCCAGGCACACATTTTGATTTTGTTTCTTTGAG